AGTCAGTGCCTGTTGTTCTTTCGCCGAAAAAGTAAGAGTGAATTCAATGTTTACGTTAATTCCATTTAAAGAGTTTCAATCGATTGAAAAATGCCATTGGGAGAAAGAAAGCGTTACTTTCAAATGTTCGCCTTTTGACTACATATTGCTTCTTTCGAGCCAATACTATTTATGTACGTGTGTCTCATGCACAGAATGTCGATCACAGACGATGTATGAAACACATTTACATTTGAGATGGATGGATCGGTGAAGAGAAAGCCCACACCCAGCGTACGTACATGCTAGCCACCATCATACTTTCAAGTTGATAATTGATGAATGACCGACTCTTTTGGTTGCTTAAGCACAAATATTTGTTCGTGTTTAAGATATAATAAGAAAGAAAATGGAGTTAATGAGGTTCCAGCATGCTCACCCAAAAGAATTTTCGATCACCTGCGACTTTTGCATTGATCATGCTCAGCCTTTCTGGCCTTCAGAAAGTGTCAGTCTTGAGGGTGTCGGTGTGCGCATGGGTCTAAATCTTTTTACACATCACATCCACACCCACACCCTTCTCAAGAAGTATCGAGAATAAAAATACAAGGTTATACATCTAAGCTACTAGAAAAAATTAGGATTCACTATGATATATCATCTAGGATAATACAATCTTGTTGGTCTTCAGCGAATACAATACTAAATCCACCAAAATTTGTTGATTTTCAACGAAATCAAAAGCTGTATTAAGGTTTCCTCAAAACCCATGACACGTTTAATATGGTTATCAAAGCTCCAAACATCTATTTTTAAGACGTCGAAGGTTTCATACGAAAGTTCAAAAAGACTTCGAATTCATTATAAAATTCAACATTTTTCTTGAGCTTCGTACTGTGTGGGAAACTCTTTTTAAGTTTCCTGCCTTGTACAAAACTCTTTTTATGCTTCGTAGTGTGTACGGAACTATTTTTTGGTTCTCTGTGACGCTTTATTTTTTTGTTCAGAATGGAATATGAGTGTGCCTGTGTGTGTGTGAGCACAAAGAGAATACCTACACCCACAGCCACACTCACATCTACCTGTGCCTGACTCCGATGAAGTGCTTCGATTAATTAGGCATTTCTTTTTGTTGTACATAGAGACCGTATTGATCAGTTTAGTTGCCTATACTTCAATGTGCAACATAGGCTACACTGAATTGCAATGAAAGAAAAAAAACATGCAGTTTGATTGAATTTATAATGGTGCCTCTAGCGAATTTCTCTTTCGAACACGTGCTCCTTTATTGAAAACAAAGCAGTTTCAATCTAGCTGCGTTCTTTCTTTGTGGCTCACAATGTAAGCAATCGTTAATGTGTAGTGTGTCGAAATTGTCAAAAGAAACTTCTTTTGGCTGTTGACATTTTGCATATCAACTGTAAGCAGAACGTGCGAAATACAATGGGGAGCATTTTTGTTTTTGATACGAGGCATACTCTGTTGAATTGAAAAATCATGTTTCAGATAGTTATTCGAATTGATCGATAGGTAAAACAGAAACATGGCATCGTCCTACAATTACACAGATAATCTTGAAACATTTCGTTTATTTTGGCTTGATGAGGACGTTAATCTCAGAGAAAATTTAGCTGCCCAAGATACGTTACGTACAATGATCAATCATTTGCAAGCATTCGAGAAGGACAACGAATGTATTCAATCAATCGAACAAGTACCTAAAGAAGATCGTGTAGTGCTTATCATTAGTGGACGAATGGGACGCGAAGTCGTGCCTCGTATTCATGGCATTAACCAACTATCGTCGATCTATGTCTACTGTCAAAACGAGACAGCACATAAAAAATGGGCGATGGAATTCGTAAAAGTAACTGCATTTATCTATTGTTGTTTATCAATATCAGGTTCTGTTCAACTAGGTAGCGGGAGTCTTCACTGAACTTGGCAAACTTATGGATAAAATCAGATCAGACCAAAAACAACGAACACTAGAAGAAGATTCACTATCGATGTTTAATATTTTCAGTATGAATGGTTCTTTAGATGACACATCGACAGGAATCAATGGTCAATTCGTACATCGTCAATTACTAATCGATGTTCTTGTTCGGATGAAACCAAATGAGAAAGACAAAACAGAACTGATCAATTTGTGTCGGAAAGAGTATGCCGATAACAAGCCAAAACTAGAAGCATTGGAAAATTTTGCCCGAACGTATTCACCTTCGACAGCAGTTTGGTGGTATACAGAAGAGTCGTTTATCTACAAGATACTCAACAAGGCTCTACGTGTATCAAATATTGACCTCCTTTTTTTGTTTCGGTTTTTTATTCGTGACATTGAGTTTCAGTTGCGTCAGAATCAGCTTCCGTCTAGTGTGGAATTGTATCGTGGTCAAATGATGTCAAATTGTGAATTGGAAAGATTAGAAAGATCGACCCACCAGCTTATTTCAATTAATTCTTTCTTTTCTACGTCTATGAACCAAGATGTCGCAATCCAGTTTCTCAAGAATAATTCAAATGCGTCGAATACTGAAATGAAACCAGTGCTGTTCAAGATCTATGCTGATACTCAAGTAGGTTTAACAAAGCCATTTGCTGATATTAGTAAACTGAGTGCACACAAATGTGAAACTGAAGTTCTCTTCATGTTGGGTTCAATATTTCGGCTCGACAAGGTTCAACATGTTCAAAACGACGGTGATCAGATGACCATTATTGAAATGTCATTGTGTGGAGATAAGCATGGTCTTAAGAAACTTTACAAGCATATGAAAAAACATAATGGTACTGGCGAAACCAATCTTCTCTCATTCGCCAATGTATTAAGACTCATGGGAAAATACGACGATGCTGAAAAGTATTATCGACGTTGTCTTCATGGAATGTCTTCAAATAATTCATTATTGGGCGACTTGTATTACAATCTTGGCTTGGTGTTCAAGTATAGGTGTGATTATGATTCAAGTTTCGAGCTTCATGAAAAAGCACTGAAAATTTTCATGCAAAATCGTCCATCTGATTCCTTGGTTATTGGGAACATTCACAATAGCATCGGCGAAATCCATTGGGCGAAACATGAGCACGAACGAGCACTTCAATCATTCAAGCAAGCCGTTCAACTTTTTGAACAAGCCAAACTTGCTAATCATTCGGACATGGCCTTGTTTCTTGACAATATCGGTCTTGTTTATCAGCAACAGAAAAATTATCCAGAAGCACTTATTTACTGTTCGAAATCGTTGAGCATTCGACAACATTGTTTACCATCAAATCATCCTGATTTGGCGATGTCTTACAATAATGTTGGCATGATCCGTTGGAATCTCGATCATTCTGATCTTGCCATCGAACTTTTGCGAGAAGCACTCAATATCAGAAAGGAATCACTTCCTACTCAACATCCAGATATTGCTTTATCTTATAGAAATTTAGGCGTTGTTTACGAAAGTACTGGTCAATACAAGCTAGCACTGGAATCATTTCAACAGGCATCAAAAATTTACTCTAAAGTATGGAAAGATGATCATCCAAAGGTTGTCGAAATTAAGAAATATATTGAACGTGTTTCGCAACAATCTCAAAATTGATACCATTGGCTTGATACAATTAGACAGAATCGTCTAAAATGTCAACTTCTGCACAATTGATAAAATGTCACATGAAAAGTTTTTTCGAATAAAATCCGATCCAAATTTATAGTCGAAGCTTTTTTTGTATTGATGATTTAATGAACAAGTGAAATAAAATCGGTATCGAAGTCATATGAATAGGTCATCGGTAATGATTTTCAATTGAAAATCCCACTGTAAAATCATCTCGAGAGACCACAAGATCTACATAGATGGCATGGGTGTGGGTGTGGGTGGGTTGTGGGGGTGCGGGGATGTGAGCCTTCTCTTCCTACACTCATACGAACACTGACACCCGTATCCTCCCATACCCAATCCCACACACATCCGCCCACACACATGCTGCACTCACCCACACCTATCCTGAAAAGTACTCATATGATGAAGCAAACCTACTAATTAAAATTTTCAGTTTCCGAAAGTTTAACTAATTATATGGAGGATCGTCTGATTTGCCTCGCGTAAAATTTTCCTAGTTATTGTTCTAAGGTGCAAAGGCTTTGCCACATTTACATCCCTCCATACCCACACCTTTACATTCAACACGCAAACTTTAAGAAGTTTTTCTGTTGACACAAGCTCCATTTGTGAGATGTCAGTCGTATTGTGAAGAGAGTAAACACAATTCTTTGAATATGAAGCGATGAAATTATATGGGTAGCGAAAGAGAACACTTCATATTCGATGCACGAAACGTAGCAACGCATAGATTGTCATATACAGCATTTCTGCATTAATTTCGATTCTTTTTTTTGATGCAGAGAGATTAAACAAACATGGTTTGTGACGAATGCATTAACAACAGCATCACCTTGAGATCGCTTCTATGGTGTTGTGTGTATTTCGTTGTCTCAGTAATTTCTTGGTGTTCTGTCAACAACATCAGTCGATAGAGAAAAACGTCACTGTTGGTTGCTATTTCATTGACAACAAACAAAATAGCGGTTCTGGATTCCTCATTAACAGGTAAGCGTGCTGTTACATAGCTACGCCGTGACGATCTCGAGTAGAATAAACAATGTCAAAGTTGCTGAACTTATTTCCTCAGGCAATGATCAAAGCTATAAACAGAGATGTTATGTTTCGTAGTGCAAGTTCGCTGAATCGTGTCTGGTTTTCTCTAACATCGAGTAAAACTACATGTTGTAGGATACCTTGCTGGGCAACGCGAATTTTTTTTGAACAAGTGGGATCGTGATTGAGCTTCAGTCCTTACATGTAAGATTCATTTTTGCAGGACGATTATCGTCGGTCAGGCACATGCAAAAAAAATTCTGAGGCGTTGGCTAGAATCCATGAGTGAAGTTCTAAGCATTTGAAGAAGCAATACTTTTTTGCCATACCGCCAAGGCGGGAGATTTTTTCCTCAGAAAGGGCTGGAGACCTTTAGGTACCTCTTCGGTATGCTCCGGTTGTCGATGAATCGTGCTTGTTTCTCTCGTACGAATAATTGCTATCATTATCACAACAAGTAAGGTTCATCGACATTGAAAGTCGATTCACTGGGTCCTAGACTGACGGAATGATGACACAGATGTCCTTATGTTTTTTAATAAAAATGAATTCTGTTCAATGATGAGTTTAGGACAAATCATTGATATTTGCAAAATGTTGTATATTACATACTAAAGACATATTCAAACAGTTGACATAAAATATTGCAAGATGCCAATGTATATGATAAAGCATATGAGTTAGTTGATTCTAAGGACTAGCAATGGTTATTTATCCTATAGCACTAGCCATTTCTAATACGGATCTAGCTAGTGGTGATACAGACACGCTCATTCCGCAGATAAGAATGATCAACTGTGCCATAGAAATGGTTGATTGCACCATAGAAACTGAGTTGAGCCACAAGAATGGTCAATTATGCTAAAATTAATGATCAGTTTTACCACGACTCACGATACTTTGCATTATAGCAACAGTCACTTATACCACGATCATGGCACTTTGCATCACAAAAATGCTCATTTGTACTACGAAAATGGCCATTTGTGCCATAAAAATAATGATTTGCGCCATAAAAATGGTCGTTTGTGCCACGAAAATGGTCGTTTGTACCATAGAAATGGTCATTTGTACCATAGAAATGATCATTTGTGCCATAGAATGGGTCATTTGTACCATAGAAATGGTCATTTGTGCCATAGAAACGGTCATTTGTATCATAGAAATGGTCGTTTGTGCCACGAAAATGGTCGTTTGTACCATAGAAATGGTCATTTGTACCATAGAAATGATCATTTGTGCCATAGAAATGGTCATTTGTGCCATAAAAATGGCCATTTGTGCCATAGAAGGGGTCATTTGTGCCGTAAAAATGGTCATATGTGCCATGGAAATGGTCATTTGTGCCATAGAATGGTCATTTGTGCCAAGCGCTTGTTACAGACAGACAGACGGACAAACAGATACAGGTGAATTACGGTTTCTAGACCCTAGCCTTTCAGTCTAGGGAAAATCATTTACGGTACGGATGTGAGTGTGAGCTAGTGTATAAGTCTAGGCGAGAATCTCGTTATGATAGTGAGTACTAAGATTGAAATCACAACCACACCCATATCCTGTAAAAATCGAATGATAAAAGCCTTCAGAATATTGTTTTCAAATGTATACGAAAAACTTATCTCACTAGTCAACTCTTAACAAATCAAGTCTAACAAAGTTTTAAACCTTCAAACTTTCTCTTTCAAACAGTGAAAACAACAAGTCTCAAGAAGCAATTGTTGGTCTTTTATTCTGTAACGGATAGTGGATCATAACGATTCTGTTTCTTTTCTTTCTGGAGCTTTCTTTTGCTTCTCTCAACTCAGATTATATTGAGTTTGGTACGGTAGAATAAATCAAGCATATTGATTATAAGCTCAGTATGTCATGTAATTTTAATCGGTGAGATCCAAGATTTTGGAGGATAGACACTATTGCATACCAGGTCAATCGTGCCCGTCGTAAACAGCCGTACACCAGTCAATTTCGGCGAAAAACGATCACCGTTAATGTTGTCTGTTTACGGCTTATTACGGCCTTCCTAAACTACTGACGTAAACTATCGCCGTTTATGGCAATCGTAAAAATACGGTCACTGTCAACAACTTTCAGAAAATATCGTAAGTTGCTGTTCACGTCGAACGTACAACGTTAGGTAAACGTTCACCGTTTTCTATCGTTCTTCATCGTAAATAGCCATTATTAAGCGATACAAGTTCAGCTCTAATTTGGAGCTCATTATCTCCTCGAGACGTTCACAGAGCTCATCTGAGCTGTTCAAACAGCTCATCTCAGGTCTAGTGAACTGTTTCAACAGCTCATTTGACCTCAGCCGAATCGTGAAAAACGATTGGCTCAGATCATTAGAACTGTTCAGACCGGTCTCTAGAGCTGTGCTCAGCGCAGATCCTTCAATTGATAAGAGCACATTTTAGGATATCCTCATAACTCTTCATTATCTATAATAGGTAGCTATTCATAGTTCTTCAAGCATGAGACTGGTGGGTACGCGCAACTCCTTGAGCTTTCTGCTAGCGGTCATATGTAAATGGTTGTCGACTGGCTAAAGAGAGAGCTGCCACTATTGCAACTGGTAACAGCAGCAGGCCGGTTCGTTAGGGTCTAGAATACCTTGCCCACAGGTCGAAACAGTTTTGTTCAGAGCGATCGATTTAAGGTTTAAAAATTTTTTTTGGCTATGCCTTGCTCAGTTTACGGGAAAAGAGTCCATTGAAGTGTTTATGTTTGCATATTAACCTAGTTTTAGTGATGTTCGTGAGGACTTCTATGTAAGAGCATGAAATAGACCGCTTCTATTGTATATGGCAACTTCATTATCATGTTGTATGATCGAAGCAAATGGAAGCCAAGAACCATTATAATTTATTACATATTTACTTCAATTATGGCTAATTTCCATTATGTTCTTCCCTAAAAGTTATTTTGCATAGCTTGATATCAGTTTTCTTTCCGTCATCACATTGTGACCAGACCATACTCGTCTGAATATATTTTACTTAAGCTAATATGATACTATTGCCAGAAAACTTGACTGCTCTCAAAACATTTGTGACATTGAGGCATAAAGTAACGGATTCGGCTCTTATTCTTAGAACGTCTTACATTGGACAAACTGAACATAGCATGCAGTCAACATATTTTAGTACTACATCCTATACAAAACAGTTTTTCGAGAGCATATTTACTATGAACTCGCTAGGTTAGCTGAAGTGCCGATTCTCATTCTATGGTATAGAACTCATTGTCTAAAACAAACAGCAAGACGACACAAAACCCCGAGCGCCGGAATAGTGCTATATTGCTTTGGACATTGAACCCGACCTACGTACAAAACCACGGTATTGAGAATGAGGTTTTATACAACTATTTCAGACAGTGGAACAGTTTCGACCAAGCTTCTCGTGTTATCGTTCAATTACCACGGATCATCATGTTTCAGAAAGGCTGCCTTCAGCTGAAATTAAAGTCCAAAGCTACTTATTTCGTGATCCATAGATAGGTATTACTCATATCAAAGGATAAAGTCACGAATGATTCATCCCTGCCTTCGCATAGTTCGGCGTACTCTGCAACATTTACATTCCCACCCGACTAAAGATGACCCCACGCGGCGAACACTACGGTATGACAGCCATGTAAGAGTAATGGATGCCACCAAAAAATAGCCATTGCGAAATTATAGACGCCCCGTTACAGTGAACATTAGAGAGTTTTTGGTGTCTTTAAGACAGAAAATGAACAGGTATGCGTGCCCAAGCAGCATAATTCCTCAAGAGTTATGCGTACCCTAGCATAGTGGTGGACCTAGAAATTTTTTGAATGAGGGGCGATTTTTTTGAGTACGTTCTGGACAGTGCGGGTTTTAATTATTCTTTTGCATCAAAATAATGTAAGTTCAATCATAGACACCAATGAAATACTTTATTCTTATGTTCAAATACATG